TACTGTGACAGATAATCCATGTGGTACCTGGATTACTCACTTGTCTCCGTTAGTTAGGTGACAGAGTATCAGGGTTAGTCGGACCGAGCGTACACTGTGCATGGACAGACAGCCTTGCGTTCGAATCTCGCAAAGGCAGGCTCTTGATCTTAGACCAATTGGATTACTTGAAAGGCACCACCTCCATCCCTCCCGGCCTGTGTTGAGCACCAAGTCAATTCACTGTAACATTTCCATTATCCCCGCTCCCGGACATCCTTTTTGACCTGTTTGGAAGCTACAACTGCAGTCGGTTTGATGTCATGGCTTTTGATCTCTCTCTCTCTCTCTCTCTCTCTCTCTCTCTCTGTAATCAACGGTATCTTTTGGACTTCAGCCCGGAAGACGAGAGGTCGTTGCTCTGCTCAGTACCTCCCCCCCCACTCAATTCGGTTTACCTGTTACCATCCAACTCGCCGAAGGCAGTTTCCACTAAAGCACAACACGAGACAGCAGATTGATTGTTTAGGAAAATCCCTGGCGTGTTAAATCGACTCTGGTGTCTCCTCTATTCGTCCCCAGGGGAATGACATAATTTCAAAATGAATACTTGTGCAAGAAAACAAGCGCGCACCTTTATAAACGAAATTATTGCACCCTTAGTGTCCTCTGGTTTCCTGTCTTCAGTCACTAGACTTCCTCAGAGCATATGCATATACATGCCGGTTGGATAGCTAACATGCATTACATACTGCATGCTTCCGAAACCAGAGCTCATCTTTACAGCTAGTGGCTAAATTCAAACGTTTGTAAGAAAGCAAGAAAGAAAAAAGATTACACGCCCAGTATTTCATTTGCTGCTCAACAAACAACGGACCAAATGCGAAATCTCCAGCTTGTTGAGTAGCGAGCGCATCATGTATAGAATATTGATTGATCAGTGGACGGTCAATGGTTTGTAAACTATTCTGGGCGGAAAAAATCATCATAACTCGTCGCTGGTTGAGGTCAGCCGAATTGGGGGTAGGAGGGGGAAGAGAAAATCGATAGCTTCAAATCACTACTCATCAAAATGCGCGAGTTGTTCTACGCGTGGGCACATACATACACACAGAGTGTTGTCGCTTCCGGGTGATAATCGTTGTGGCAGTCGCACTGATTAATCTCATGAACGAATGCATTGCTGCTTTCGAGGCAAGTTCCGATTAGTACCCGAGACTGTTAACAAATCCAGACAATGATCGATTGAACCACAATCGTATTTCAGTAGGACTCGTTGGTTGGTTGACGATGAGTGCTAGTCGCTTGCTCGGTCAACTCCATGCCTGATCTGACGTGCGCGTATGCGTGTGTGTGCATGAGCGTGAGCGGCGCTCTCCAGCAAGATCAGCCCTGATTGGAATCGATCAGGCGCGTTCGGGGCCAGATGATCAGTCACTCTACAGCTTCTGACCGTCGGCATTGAGAAAACCCTGTTTTTGAAGTATTGAAAATCGGTTCCCGTAGCTCGGGTAAACTGAATTCCATTTGACCTGTTCGCCGAACTTGACTGGCAATTTGGTTACAAATGTTTCATCACCCCAGCCGAGGTGAGACCGTCAGTGCGTGTGACTAAGACTGACACTTTGTGTCATAGTTGTTAGTATATGGACTAGGCTGGTAACCGGCGGATTGATTCCCTTTTTAGACATAGTTTACGGCTATTGTGATTTTGGAAGAGCCCATGATTGATGGATTGATGCACGCTTGAGAGACTTGTGTACTTTAACAAGTGATGCATTGAGGTGGGCGTGCATTGTGCGTGTTCTCTGCGGTGGTGTATCAAAACGTTTGCATGATAGAGAACAAGTTGTTTGAATCATCATTGAAAATGCGACATATTTCTTTTTGACTAAAACCACTGAGATTCACTGTTCAACAGCCCTGGAACAGATATGAACCCATCGCAAATGTATGCTCATAATTTTGATAAACCAAAGGTTTTTTTCGGTTCTCACCTTTTTTGCTTCGTATACGACATGGTTCATTCCAAAATGTGCTTGCCTTGCTCCAGGAGCAACGCTATATTTGTTAGGATAACCGTGCCAATTTTCCATTTTGTTGTCTATAATGATCGATTTCATACCATTTTGCCCGTTCCTGGCATGGGTTGGCGGGCAGGAGATTGACGGCAGAATGAACGTAACATCAAATGGATCACCAGTGCACTATATGATTTTGTGTTTGTCTTTTTGCGGCGCGCATCTTTCCTCCCGTTCGCCATTTGCCTGCACCGCCTTGTCTTGGTTTGCCATCACATGATCCTGCACTGTTTGATTTGACTGACAAGGAACTACACTCCGATCTGATCCCCGGTAGTCATTTTTTCATTTAGATATAAACACATAAATTTTTCTTAATCTTGTTTACTACAATTAATATTGGTGAAATGATGGAAATACTGTCTGGTCATTATTGTGTAACAGAACTGATCAAAACGGAACACCTACTTATGTCAAAGAGTGCAAGCCTGAATCCAGTGAACACGGAAAAACGAAATGGCGATTCACGTGGTGCTGAGACCAGTCATGATTCCCGAAAACCCGGTGAAAGCAAAGTGCAACAACTGCCTTCATCGCATACTTTCAGCCATGATCCGTGCGCCACCATATCCTGTCCAACGTCGAACTTTTCTTCTCCTTCTCAATCTCGCTCCTCCTCCTCGTCCAGCAGCCGTTCCTCGGCTGCTTCTCTACCTCCCAGTCTGTTGACCAGACAACAGTCCCGTCGCCACAGTTCCCCCGGCCAAACAAATGAGCTCAGTAGAACTCAGGATGACACTGTTGGGGATGTCAACGACGAAGGTGATGGTGACGGTGACGGTGATGGTGATGGTGACGGTGATGGTGATGGTATCGGTGATGATCTACCCGAATCCGGTTCCAAAACTAATCTTTCCGGATCTGATGCTGCCGTATCCAGTTCAGGCACAACAATCACGACACCAATGCGACGGGCCTCGTTAGGAGCGATTGTTCCTCCCAGCACTAGCTCGACGCAACCGAGCTCGACTAGCCGACTGTTCTTTGTCCATCCACAGGACTCGCTTTTCAAAGCTTTACGGTTGCTGTCCCGTTTCCGTTTACATCACTTGCCGGTCATTGATTCACCACATGAAGGAACCGGGAACGTGCTATATGTGCTCACTAAAGGTCGTTTGTTGACCTATTTGTTCAGTAAAATTCTACTCGTCCCACAACCTCGTTTCATGCAGGTAAACAATTTTCTGTGTGTGTGTGTGTTACGTTTTTTCCACCCCTATTCAATTTAAATTTCACCGTCTATCGATCATTCTTCATCTCTGATTTATTGTCAGGACGAATATTTCGCAATAGAACACACGTGATAATTTAAAGGTCTGTGGGAAACAGATGTCCAAAAGCGTAAGCATGCGCCCGCTCCCCTCCCCGAAAATAATGTTGTCTGATCTTATAATTTAGTGTTTTTTTTTTATTTTTTCGCATCCATCAAGCTAGGGTGGTACATGCTTTAACGGTACAAGTGAAGCAATAGGCCCACAATGTTATCACCACCCAGCTTGCGTGGTGAGAAGCTTTGCTGTCGTCCGGTTCAATATCACGCCTTAACCAGCAGGGCTTTATGTGGGGTTCGCCACTCCAAGCTTAGATTACCGGTTCCCAACAGTGAACAGCCGATTTTCGTGACTGTTTGATCCACATTGCCTGCTGTTCATCGCATACGTGTGCAGTTGAAAATGGACACCAAACCGCCCAGGTTCCTGAACGAGAGCAGAAACAGGAAAGTGCAACTGAACATGAAAATGCGTGTATGTGGGGGGAGGGGGGCAGAGATTCGGCATAGATCTGTCCCATATCGAAGATTGTGGCGGGACAAACACTGTAGTTCGTCATTGCATATTTGCGTTTCCACCAAATTAGATTCCGCCGATCAATGCAGTATACTGTAAAGCGGTATTTTCTTTGTCAAGCCTAAAATCATCTTCCAGCGGTAGAGCCAAAAGTTGTCCGAAGATGAGCGTGATGTTTGGAGCTTTGGATCACATTGCAATCTAATTGTCTCGTGTACTTAAGTCATGTAAATTTGATCTTTGAACTCTTTCCTTTACGCTTTATCGAATCGCGATTGACTTTCTTCTACTATTCCACATCGTTCTTCTATGCTTTCCGATGTTTTTCGCGTTTGGCAAAAAATAGCATTTACTTACCAATTTCAAAATACAACCTACCTTATCGTGCTGGTTACGGCTACAAACAACTAGTGAGCTAGTGAGCATGAGCTGTTTTCAGACCATCGCAAACCGATATTTTTACCCCAAAAAATATTCTTCAGTGTATAAAATAAGCCCATTTTGTAATCAAAACACGTGCGGGGCGAACTTATATGTTTATGTTTAAAAGGTCCCACGGAGCTCATAATGAGAACACAAATCGGCAAACAAGCTCGTTTTCAATGTGTCTTAATCATGCCATTACAACACAATAAATATGACTAGTATCAAAGAAGGATTTACAAGGAAAACGAGAGGGAAAGTAATTAAAGTATTCAAGAGTTTGTTTTATAATTGGTCCCCAATAATCACTTGCTCCGATGTTGCATAACAAGTCACTTGTCTGCGATCCGGCCATGGGAGCTTGAGTGCTTGCACAAANGGGGGGTTGTGAAGACGGATGGAAACTGCCTCCGCTGCGGCTAGAATGCGAAACCGCACGTGTCTTGAATACTTTAATTACTTTCCCTCTCGTTTTCCTTGTAAATCCTTCT